ATAGAGGACATAAAAATTAACAAAAATGTAAAAATACTTTCTGAAACATGAGTTTCTTTAAGTCGCAATAAGATTAACACAAAATTAAAACATCATATATGACCCTTAAACTTGACTGTAGGTATCAAATTTTTAACCATGAATACCCAGATAGGATATAAATAAAATTTGACTACATAATTTGGTATAAGCTTTTTGACAGTACATTAGTAATTTAATATAAAAGCCTCACAATATGAATATTTTTTCATTCTGAAATTCCACCTATAGAAATTCATCTATGTGGGGAAGAAAGGAATGGGTGGAGTGAAGGGGATTGGAGGGATCACTTCTGTGGTTTATCTTACAAGGGTACAAGTGAATCTTTCTAAGAGTAGAATATGAACGTTTTAACACAATAACTCAGAAAATGACATGAAGGCTATGTTAACCAGTTTGATGGAAATGTTTCAAATTATATGTGAAAACACCACACTGTACCCCAGAAGTGCATTAATGTACATAGTTACCATTCAATAAAAAAAAAAGCAATTCATCTATGTGGTTTCTTTTTTAGCAATTGTTTGTTATAAAAAGGCCCAACAAACTATATGTATATGAAGATGATACAATCATGCAATTAACTACAATTAAGACATTTTCAAGTATTAGTGATAATTGCACATATATTTAAAACTAGTAATAATGCCTTAGAATATGAATGGATGCTCCCAAACACACATCATGCATAATAATGCACCTCTATGATTATTGTTATGATAATACTTAATGTGATTAGGTGAAAAAAGCAAACTATAGTTGTAAATAATGGAAATTATTTTTTTTAATTTTATGTATATAAAATATATCACTTTAAATTATTAAAAATAATTGCTTTGGTTTTTCTAATATTTTCATGTTATCTTTTATAATATTTGAGAAGAAATACCAAATAAGTTAGTTTTGTGATCTTTTGATTTTCATACATGGCAGAGAAAAAAATGCAGGAAAAGCACACTTGTTCTTCACTACCTGGTTTTTGGGGTATTGTATTTGGCCTGCACCTGTTGCTATTGTGGCATTTTTATGTCTCTAAGGACACTGCCTCCACTGCAGTGTCTTTCAGTATTTTTGCCCAAGTTCATTACAAAAAAGACTCATTAGTAAGGTTTGAATGTGGGTCACCAAGGACTCGTCATTAATTAGCCTCAGGTTTAGGAACTAAATCAAACGTAAATCTTATTGGTGTAGAGGCTCCTCACAGAAGCCAGAGAAGTCATAATACCAGCACTTTAAAGGTAAAAGATGGCAATATTTGAAATACTTTATTTTCAACAAAAAAGAGAGCCATAAAATATTTTCTAGGCAAAAGGGACCAAAGTCTTTGTTGTAGAAAATCTTCACAGTGTGTTGGAAATTTAAAAAATTCAGAGTACCAGGCCCTGCCAGAACACAAGTCAGAGAAAGTGAAGAGTCATAAGCTGAGACAAAAAATTCCACCCAAGACTTTGCTCATAGGTCCTCTTCATCAAGGTAACCTTTAGGACTCTTGTCCTTAGTGAATCAGCTGAAGTTGGTAACTCTCAGAAGAGTAAGTACAGTGACTACTTCATTTACTTTCATCTTGGGTAAATCTGTATCATGCTTTTCTCTGAGAAGCACGTTTGACATGATTTACCAAAATCAGATACAATTAGTACTTAGAATTATTGCATAAAGATCCACAGACCTGAGTTGGATTTTGTAATGCCAGTTTTTATGGTTATATAAAGATAGTGTGAATTTACAGATTGTAATAAATTGTCTCCACCACACTTTCATTCTCCTCTTTAAAGGAAAAAAACTGTATATCTCCAGTAAAACTACCTAAAATAGCAACTTATCTAATAATATTGACAAAATTAGTTATCCCAGCACTTTTTATATATAAAAATATTTGGAAGACAAAAGTATTTTATTAAACTTTGCATAAAATCTAGAATTATTGGGTGGCTCAATGGAGTAGGGTGCCAGCCCCATATGCCAGAAGTGGCATGTTCAAACCCAGCCCTGGCCAAAAACTGCAAAAAAAAAAAAAATCTACAATTATTAATAGATGGAATTAACAAAGGTTATTTTGGAACAAAAACTACAACCCATAGGTTGCAAAGAGCATGTTACGACATCATAGCTCTAGAAGCTACTGGGTTGAGAAGGGGATTAAAGGAAGCAGATAAGCTTAAATGTGTATCCTTCCCTTTAATTAGAACTATCTCTTGTAACTGTTCTGGCATGTTCCTGTACTCCCTAGGGATGTCATAGGTCTTCAAAAAACCATGTGGGTTCTCCTTCGCAGTGATGGTGATGGCAAACCCTGGAATTTAACTGTCATCATGGGTCATATATTGAGAGGTAACCTAGCCTTCATCTATGGAGAAAGTGAATATTTTAAAGGGACAAATGACAGCCATGAATATAACAAGCTAACTGAGTATTCGTGGAAAGAAAAATTGTTTTTTGTTTAATCTATTGAAAAGAAACTCAAATACTGTAGATACTAATTCAAAACTAAGAATTATTTGAGTATGTTAATAAAATTAAGTGTTATAGCTGAGGAAAAATTGTAGAACAACTATTAATCCATATTAAGGGCTATAAATTCTTTAATTGTGATTTTAAAATATTATCAAAATACCCACTGAAGAGGCATGGTTGAAAAAACTAGGAGGAATAATCTTTTTCTTTTTCTTTTTTTTTTTT